TGTGACTTGCTGTTTCGGCATTCGGAATCCAAGACTTCGACTTTGTGCTTTACCACTGTGTCTGCGTCCGACCCTCAGTCCGAGTCCGTCGAGTCGAGTGAGTGAGTGTGTGTGTGTGCTCTCACTCTCTTCCTCTCTCTCCTCTCCCTCGGCTCACCCTCAGCCTCACGCTCGTTACACCTGCACCCTATCCAGCAGATCATCTTTTATAGGGAAAGGTTCGACATTTTTCACCGTAATCGTGTTCAAAGTTGAAACCCACCCCTTCTCCATTAACTCATCAAGCTGCCTGCGCAGCTCATCAAGTTTTTTGGGAGACAATCAATAAATGGGCCCCTTGGGAGTCTTGCTACCAGGCTCTGTCTCTATCCGGTGCTTGATTTCCCTTTCCATGACTCCTGTCGGGGTCTCTCCCACATAAGTGAACTCTTTCAGCAGTTTTTCAACTGCGGGTTGTTGGCTGCTCCTCCTCCTTGCCTTCACTGACCAGTCTAACATACACTACAAGGACCTGGTCAACCAAATTGGTCTTGACCACGTGCTTGGCGAATGCAGGGGCACTCGTACAGCGAAGGGACAGACTTGACTCTACTCCAGATTTAGAAACAGCCGCATTTTCTTTTTGCCTCCTTTAGGGCTGGGCAGCCAGCACTCATGCTTGTCCATTTGCAGCCTCTCCCCAATCCGTTCCTAGAATGAGGTCAAAAGGGAGGCTGTCCTCCACTAGGAGGGTCAAGGAGTGCAGAATTGTCTGCCAGCCTGCTCACGACAGGTTCGTCCAATTTCATAACCTTCATGCCGAGGTGCATCTTCTGCAATCCCGTTCGGCTAATGTAGCTACGTGTAGATCCACTATCAACTAGCACGCCTACTCACTGGGCCTGAAACAGGCCTAAATTGTAAAAATGAGACAACTGGTCTGGACAAGAACCGAAACGACACATCCAGAGCGGATAAAAATTGGAACAGACAAAAAAGAACTCAGAAAAAACAGACACCCCAGAAAAATAACGAAAACACCCCCAACCAAACACACACCCCATGCGCCCTACCACTACCTGGCCTCTCTCTAGGCCGAAAATGTGGTTGTGGCCCTGAGATCCGCCCAAAATGAGGCATGTGCAGCCAAGGGCCCGGGATGGACCAATGTTGAACCCTAAGGGCCCATGTGGGAGTTGTGCATACCAACCCCCCTGCCCCTCCTTGAAGAACTAAGCCTATCGGCGAGGACGAAG